GGAGTCGAAAGTAGAAAGAAGAAACGCGAACTTGGTTTGAAAGGACGTTCGAAGAGCTCCACGCGGCCGCATGAGTTGCGGGGAAGGCGAACTTCGCTTCCAGTGACTGGAAGGAGGGACTCAGGAACGTATGCTGTTGGTTTGGAAACAAGTGACACGAAAACTCGGGAAACGAGAGGAGGAAGAGAGGCAAAAGACGTGCCGCGTCTGATGAGAGTCGCATCAAAGAACGTACGACGCCGACACCGCAGGGAAAAAAAAAACCGCTGGAAAAGCGCCGCGTGAGAGATCGCCGGCCAGGCGAAGAAACGAAACGCGGAACTGCTGCTTACATTGCGCGCTTTTGGACCTTGACAGCACGGGTCTAAGGCAGCAGGGGAAGCGCTTGAGAATTCTCATAAGCGGAACTGCTGCTTACATTGAGCTCTTTGGACCTTGACAGCACGGGTCGTAGGCAGCAGGGGAAGCGGCGAAACTACGAGTGCGAGCACGAAGATGGGGACGGTGAAGCCCATGGCGGCGACAGCCATCATGGGATGCGCCCCGGATACCGCTGCGGTGGAGGGATGTCAGTCAAAAAAGCGCTGCTGGTTGCTATTGCTGGCCGCTAGCAGTAGTACTAGGCAGTTTGCTGTCCTGTCCCCCTACTAGTGTCTTTGAATGTCTAAGAACAGTCTTTTAGGAAAGGATCATGGTGCTCCAGTCGTGTCGACCTAACAAAGTGTCGTTTTTCCTACTGTTCCTTTGGGATACCATCATATGGATGCTGTGTTACTTTCTCCGACCAGTTCTACGACCTTGGCCAGACCAGCTCTACCGAACCGAGCAAAAGGCGATGACAATGCGGTGGAAAGAAAGAACAAAGGAATCTACAGAAGTCGAACGAATGCAGGACTTCATTGGGGCATCCTTCTGCGGCCCCATCTGCCATCCTTTCCCCAAACCGCTGACTGAGAGTGCAAGGAATGCAGTGGCAGTTGCCGTGCTGAAGTGTGGTGAACATCTGAAACAGATCTTACGAATGTCGCGTAATAATTGCTCTGTATGCCAGACAGAGTTGGCGATCCGTAATATCTGGGCTTGCGTGTCAAGAACGTGGCGAGCGAAATCGATGCACCTGGTAGTTCGTCGTCAGATTTTTCGCGAAGGTACAGTCGATGCCGATTAGAGGAACCCCACCTTCGACTTATTGAGGGTGATTGAGCAAAATCGTGGTTGACTCGGGTGAAAATCGACTCTGATCGAGTTGGGGCGATCAGTTGATCGCGATCAGCTGATTGCCCCTGATTGCGTGAAATTGGCTTTGATCGCCTCTGATCTCAAAGTATACAAGTGCCCGGATTTCCTTGACTTGCTCAGTGGCGCTAGGGGGATAGTCAGATCAAACTCTTCTGAATGGTAAAAAGCAATCAAACATGCAAACATCTTAACGGGCCTTAAAAACAATGTACAAGATGCATCATGCACTTTAGCCTGATGAAATTTGGGTGTCGTGCCTGAACGTCTTGCACCTGCACACCAGAAACAAGCACAACTTCTTGCTCGGTCTATAAGATTTCCAGTCCCCATTGTGCAGTTGTCCATCCTGACTATGTGATGATTGGGCAATGACACTACAGCCGATTGTGTTAATTTTGTTCATTGTTGCCACTGTTGCACCATTCTCCAACATGGGTCGACGACAGGGGTTTTTTTATCAGAGTAAATTACTATGTTTCTCTGAAAATCAGAGTGGTTTGTGGGGGGTCACTCTGATGTTTCTAGGTAAAGTTTTTGGAAGATAAGTTTCCTCTGATTTGCCAGTGTTTTGATTTTAGGTACTCTGATAGACCAGTGTAAATTTCTGATGAATTGTATTCTTCTCTATACATGGTATAGGCATTTCGACCGAGCCCCTTCCTGAGTTGGTGGAAAATGGCTAGGCTGATTACACTATGTATTAGAAAATACATCTCCAACATAGATGATGAGCGCATAGCACAACGGTAATAAGTTTTGTAGGGGCGCAGAAGACTTGGGTTCAGTATTGAAAGAACACTTAGAGTTGGAAAAATTGGTGCACTGACTGTCCAGAGATTTTTTTTCCATAAGTTAAGTTTTCTCTGACAAATCAAAGTAACGCTCATAATGAACCCTGAATTTCAGAGTTCCCAAAAAAAAAAAACTCTGAAAATCCGAGTAGTGAAAATAAATAAATAAAAAGCCCTGGTCATCGACCACTGACATAACAAAGTCCAATTGAACAATTGTAGCTCCTCGCCCAACTCACTCCGTCTTCACGCCTTTTCCATCCCACCCCTCACCTGTACCTGCCAAACAGGCCCTCAGATATCAGCATAAAACACGCTGATTACGCTGATTTTGTAGCTCAGATTTTCGTTTTCCCTGAAAATTCAGCATACGGTTAAAATATGCACTGAAATTTCAGTATAACATACCTTGCCACACTGACCATTTTCCGTGTTGCTGTACAAGTAACACTGACGAATCAGTGTATTGTCGTGAATCACACTGAAACGGACTAGACCGATTCGGGGTGGTACGCGTCTGTACAGTCTGTACCTGGCCCGGGATTCACGAGACCCCACTAGGCTGTACCTGGCCCGGGATTCGCGAGACCTCACTCACACACTTAACGATGCATGCGCTGTACAGATCGCGTGCCGACGTGTTCTGCATCGCTGGAAGGAACTCTCACAGCGACAAATTTTGAACGGGAAATTCAACTTTGTATTTCTTTTTTACACTGATGGTTCAGTTTACTTATAGCATTTACACTGGCAAAATCAGTATAAAGAAACCATGCACGCTGATTTGGACACCTGGGCGACCGGGGCATGCTGATCCATCAGCATACCCTCAAACCAATCTGAGGGCCTGCTGCCAAACCTTAAAGATAGCCCCAACACTGTTTTATGTGGACATTAGAATGGCACGTAATGGTCTCCCCTAGGGCTATTGGTGCCGTCCTGGGGGGGGGGGGGTGGTTGCACTATCCGTTATGCAAATGTGCCCTTCTCTCCCAGTCGGTTAGCAAACCGGACCAATCTCTTCATGGTGTGGAGAACATGGAAGAATAAGCGCGGTGAACCTGGGTTCAACTCCTGCTGTCGGCAGCTTCCTGTGCCAAATGGTGGGCTCCCCCAGTGCGGGAGTGTTGAAAGCGGTAACTGGAATGGCCTGTGGTAGTCTCCTTAAAGGGCTACAGCCTATAGGTCGACTTTGGGGTCAAGGGGTGCACTGACGCACTACACAAACATGTCCGATTATCCCAATTTGTTAACAAACCAGAGTTGTTACTGCATAACGAAGCTTCCTCTTTATCGCTGCATAACCAGAGTCGGTACACCTAATTTCACAGTGGAATCCTGTAACAATAATCGCAACAACTTTAACTATAATTCATTTGACAGCTTCCAAACTCCTCACTACTTCAACCACTTTAGTTGTGTCTTCCCCCTTCTTCCTCCTCCCCCTCATTCTCCCTCTTTCCACCACACCCTCCTCTACTCTGTTCCCTTTCCCTACCCCCTACATCAAGGTAGGGGCAAAGGTTGATCACTTGCCTCCATATGCCAGACGCTTTTCCGTCACACGTGCTCGCTTACGATTTTCTTTCTTTCGTTTCTTTTCTTTCCGCCCGGGCAACATTATCTCGCCAACCCCCAACCAGGTTTTGTCAAAACCACCACGTTGAATGTGCATCCCATCTAGCTAAAGGTTGAGGGCAGCAAGCACGTGGTGAGTTGTGGGAAGGGCATGGTGCACATTGGGAAGGTCCCAGGGTGGCTGTTGCACGGAGGAGAAAAGCCAGGGAGCAATGGTGGCATTGAATGCTGCTGAATCAGGGACTAGCATGGCCTCCCAGTCCACCTGAGGGGATACACGGATAGGTTAGATGGGGAGGAGGTAGGGTTGGAGGAAGGAAGGGAGGGGGGAGAGAGGATTGAGGCAGAGTCGGGGAGTAGCATGGCCTCCCAGACTAAATTACTTGAAACGAGGTGACTTTTGAATCGACTCAAAAGTCACCTCAGTAGCATGGCCTCCCAAACTACAACACATAGAACCTTCTTTTCTGTGTGTATGGGTGGGGCAGTGTGTGTGTCAGAATCCCAGCCACTAACCACTGGGATAAAATGGGTTTTTTTGTGTAGCGGGTGAGTGCGCCTATAACCCCCTAGTCCAACGTGCCTGTAACCCTTCCCTATAATCAATCGGAGATCTCCAGTAGACCTCAAACAGCGTGTGTGTGTGTGCATGTGTGTGTGTGTGTATGTGTGTATGTGTGTATGTGTGTGTGTGTGTGTGTGTGTGTGTGTGTGCACGCGCGCGCGCGTGTGGCGTGTATGTGTGTGTGCGGCGTGTGTGGGTGTGTGTAGGTAGGAAGGTAAAAAGGTAGGTAAGGAGGTAGGTAGGTAGGAGGTAGGTAGGTAGGTAGGAATGTAGGTAGGTAGGAAGGTAAGTAGGTAGGTAAGGAGGTAGGTAGGTAGGAGGTAGGTAGGTGGGTAGGTAGGTAGGTAGGTTGGTAGGTAGGTAGGTAGGTAGGTAGGTAGGTAGGTGAATAGGTAGGTAGGTAGGTAGGTAGGTAGGTAGGTAGGTTGGTAGGTAGGTAGGTAGGTAGGTAGGTAGGTAGGTAGGTAGGTAGGTAGATAGATAGGTAGGTAGGTAGATAGATAGGTAGGCAGGTGGTAGCTGCAAAGATATGCATGACGTTGGGAAGAAAGAGGGGAAGGAGGCTGAAGGAGGTGTCTGTGCGTGCATGCTGGGCGAGAGGCGGCAGACAGGGCAGCACAGATGGCTCTAGTGGTCTGGAGATCTTGACGTGCGGAGTGGAGGTGTGGAGGGAAGATGTGGAATGAAGGTGTCGAGGTGTAGAGGGGAGGGGTGGAGTCGAGACCCGAGCAATAACCAGGCAAGGCAAACAAAACATGGATGCTGTTAAGTTACACCGAGGAAAGCAGCATGCCTGGGTGTGATGCTAGGTGGATCTACGTGCATTGCTAGGATCTGGTAAGGCTGAGGAAAGTAGAGGCAGGAGGATAGGGGCGTGGAGGAGGGTGGAAATGGTGCGGGTTGGAGAGACAAAAGAAAACGAGAGAGTGGATGGAGGAAGTTGGTGGGGAAGAGGAAGGGAGGGTGATGGAGGGAAGAGGGTGGTGCGAGGAAACAGTGCGAGGGGGAGAGCAGAGGGAAACCTCGAAGCCCGTAAGGCTGCCGACGTCAGTCTTGGGCACGAGGCGGCTGCACTTGATGCCGGGGTTGAGGCGGAAGAGCTCGAGAGGGGAGAGCGGCGGGGAGGGCACAGAGCGGATCTGGTCGCACGTCTCCCCGGCCTGCACCAGATAGAACTACGAGCACACCGGGATGAGCAGCGCCGCTGCACTCTCCGCCCGCCGCTCCACACACACCGCCTGGCTGTCCACCAGCTCCCCGCTGCCTGAGCAGTCCAGCCCGGGGTTGAGCGCCTGGAAGGCTGCTGCGCAGGGCTCGGTGGGAGTAGGGAGAAGTAGGCGGTTAGAGACTCGCATGTGTCACCCTGGGGGAGAGGGAAGGGGGGGGGATGATGAAAGGAGATGAATGGACGGGGGACAGGGGGAGGGGCTGAGGGAAGAGAAAAAAATGCTGAAACAAAGAAGGGAAGAACGAGGAAGAACACCGAGAAAGCAAGGAGGAGAGGTTCAAGACACGGCTTACTGCAGGCCGAGGTTAGCAGCAGCAGGAGAGAGGCAAAGGAGGGCGGGAGAAAGTGAAGGGGATGGAGGGAGTGAGGCAGGGAAGGAGGGAGATTAGTGAAGCGGTTGGAGGGAGGAAGGAGGGAGGGAGGGAGGGAGGGATGGAGGGAGGGATGGAGGGAGGGAGAGAGAAAGAGAGGTAAGGAGAACAAGAGAGAGTGGAGTGCGGACGGAGGGAGGCAGGGGAAAAAAGGGGAAGATGGGACTTGGGAAGTGGTGTAGTAGACAGAGCAGGGCGTGAGGTCGGCTGACAGGACCACGTTCACCACCGTGTCGACAACAAGAGGAGCACTGCAGCTCAGACCCTAAAATAAAGGGGAGGGGACAGGGGAGGGTAGGGCGGAGGCGATGGGAGAGGGATTGCGAGAGGCACAATGAGGTTGATCAGTGAAGGTAAGAAATGCAGAGAGTGGGCAGATATTTACGGGAATGTGAGGAGGAGGCTCAAAAAGTAGCCGGAATGCAAGGGTGTGGGTGTGGGTCTCACCGGGTTATGGGCGTGGAAGGAGGCTCACGGGGTTCTGGGCTTGCAGTTGGGCGAGATTGAGGCCGTAGACGGGGTGAATGTCGGCACACGTAACACCCCACGACACCACCGTGTATGTGCTGCTGGAGTCGCTTGTGCAAAGGCATTGGAGTGATCAGGTAGGAATGGGTGCGATATGAAGACGATATTATTGGAGACGATATGAAGGAATGTGGAGCGATGGTAACAACGGCAGGCTGTAGAGCCAGTGTTAAATGCGCAATGTCATACCAGCATGCCAATGAGTAATGTGTTAGCGTTACACTTCAAGAGTGGATAGCCTGAGCAATGAGATGTCTGTAGAAGCACCTGGAGTGCAAGAGAGTAAGGTTACCTGGACCACAGGAGAAGGTGCCATCAACGGTGGTGCCCTGCCTGAATCTCGAAGGGCACACACACGAGTATGACCCCTTGCCATCATTCACACACGTGCCCACTGCACATGGATTGTGCTCCGCTGCCCTGCACGCGTCCTCTGGGGAAAATGACAAGAGATGAAAGAGATGAAACACACAGCCAAGATGAGCATGCTTTGAGGTGACTGAAAATTGGTGGCTGACAATCCAAGGAACGTGCTGTCTTGCTGATACCACCGTTGCAGCCAACTGAGCATCGTGGCATGGTGGCCACCATCACTAGTGCACTGAATACTGAAGTACCTTCAAAATGACAGGAAGGAGAAAGGAGAGAGTGCTCACTATAACAACAGGGAAGAGTGCTTTCTGTAAGCACAAGTTCGCGAGTTGTCCGGTTGAAGCGCCTCGACGAATCGCGGGTCGTTGCAGTCGCAGTGGTTGCTGGCCCCATCAGGCGTGGGCGTGCACGTGAAGTTGCCACAGGGGTTGAAGAGCGGCCCAAACACCCCACTGGTGGTGCCGTTGACGTTGCAGGGGTCGTTGGCAGCGCGCACCACCGGGTAGATCCCAGGCAGCGTGTTGATCCCACACACGCCGTCGCCCCCCTGGATGTCCATCCGCATGTGCCCGCCGTCGCCCCACTCCGGGCCCCATGAGTTGCAGATGATCCAGAAGGGCGGCGCCATGTGCGGGAAGGTGGGGTCTGAACTGGTGAGGCGATAGCCCACCAGCAGCACCACGTGGTTCAGGTTGTACGTGAAGCCAAGGGGTCCGTGTACTTGGATAGCTGGGGGGGGATAGGGGGAATTCAGGGGTGCATGGATTTGGAATGAGTTGGTGCGTAGTGTGCGTGAGTACCTGCATTCGTGTCTATGTGTGTGTATGTGTGTGTGTGTGTGTGTGCGCGCGCGTGTGCGTGCATGCGTGTTAGAATGTCTGTATCAGTGGACGAGTGGGCTCACCCCATCATAGTTGAGGAAGGAGGGAGCGGTGGCCTGCACATGCGCCACCACGGGCTGTCGCCGCACGGCCAGCAGCAGCCCAAACCAGCCGTGGAACGCCGTGCGCTCAAACCCGTCCACTATGAATGGCCCCCCCGATGGCTTGCTCTGCCGTGGGGGTATGGGAGGAGGGGTTTGGGAAGAATGTAAGAATGGAGGGGTGTGTGGGAGGGGTACGGTAGTAAGAGTGTAGGATGAGGTGTAGGGGAGGAGGGGTGGAGTAGGAGGGGTAGGGGTGAAGGGGTAGGTGTTGCCAATACACTTTAGTGGGTTGGCCATCACACTCCCATTCAGCCTACAAGTTTGCTCACCCTCTGAAAACCTGTGAGGAAGTGCTTTACTACCGCCTCACCAAGATCTTAACGTGCTAAATGCAGAGAGCTACTCTACACCGGAAGCTGGACCACGGGGGAAGGCACGGGTGGTACAAGTGATTGTAGTGTTCTCTTGTGTTCTCTCTATTTGCATATTGAAGGTGAAAGTTGACAAGAGTTTCACTAGCGAAAGTTGAATTACAACGATAGGAATTGCAGTGGCAACAATGACTACATAAAATGCAAGACAGCCTAGGAGACAGGCAGGACGACCACCCACGCAGCAAGTCGGCGGCTTGCCCACGCAGCTCGATGGCGACTTGCAAGCACTGCAAGTCGGCGACCTGCCAGCGTTGGACCAAGGTGGCTTGCCAACGCTGGAGCAAGACGGCTTTCCAGCGTTGCAACAGTAGCGCATGTGCGGCACCCACTTCGCAGGTGCGTTTAGGCGGTTGAGCTCGTCATGCACCGCCCTGGACATTGCGCAGGTGCCTAGTCGGCCACGTGCCGACGGTTGCGCCTAAAGATTCACGTCGACCTTGGGATACCTGCTCGAGGTCGGCTTCGCCAAAACTCGTTCGCTCATCTCCGCAGAACCTCGTCGCCTGGGTTACTTGGTCGACTGGAAAACCGCCAAGCTGGCGCCGACTTGAACTGTACGAGCCCGCGCGACTGATGCACATCCTTGTCCATCGCCCAGGTCGACACCACCCGCTAACTTTACCAAGTCCGTGTCCCCGCAAGTTGAAGAACCCTTTTCATCGACCACACCAATGGAATTTGGACGCCGTCTTCCCATCGTTATTGGCTTTGCAATGGTCCCACGCAAGTCGACCAGGTCCGTCGACTTGCTCGCCCAAGTCAACGTCGACCATTGTGAACAGTCATCTGCACCTTCCGCGCACTTGACCACAAAGTCGGCTTTGCCCAAACGAGGGTGGGGCCAATTTTTGTTAACATTGGAGCCATCGCAACTGTTGTGCACCAAGTATGTCCTTATGGGTAGTTTCTTGCTTTTGTCTGGGTTGTGGCTTCAACTCTCAGCATCTCACTTTCCTTTCTCATTAAGCTCACTATGATATGTCCGTACTCCATCACACTCACCCACAATAAACTGTGGTCATACTTGGCATTGCCACCTCTCCACTGATCCTATGCTCACCTTGCTGGTCCCTATGGTGTGCCATATGCTGCCATGTAAGCTGTTCCAGCCTGACCCACATGTGTAACATGAGGCCTTAGATACTAGCTTGGCTAGGTTGGCTAGCCTTGCTCTCAACTTTGAGCTGTTGCAACTAGCCTCAAGAGTTCAGCCATACATATGTGTTTTCGTACTTCACTAGAGCTCATCCTTGGACAAGGACATTGCTTTAGTCTTTAAGGCTTGTATCATCTTCCTGCTAAGGATATTTTATCTTTTCATTGTGCCCTGTAGTTCACCATTTTGTACAACAACAATATACAGCAGATGATAACAAATTTAACTACCAGACTTGTTGCAGTTGAGAAATCTATGTCACTCACATCGTAGAGCTCGCACTCTACGATAGACAGGAGTAGGCATCGTTGATGCACATGATCAACAAATCACGTGGTTATCTCAATACCTGACCATGGTAGACAAATAACATGTGGCAATGATCGGTACATGTGATACACCTAAATGGTGATAACGACGCACCTTATGTGATAATGGATGACGCTGAAGTACCTGAAATAGTAGAACCGATAAAGGTATCAAAAGTCACCTACCTTTCCAGGGGTCCGGACTTTGTCGCAGGAGATCCCAAGCGCTTGTGCGAGCAGAGCAAAGACGGGCATGCCACAGAGTGGGCTATGGCTGGCTCTCTTCTTCCACCCTCTCCCTCTCACCACCACTCCGTCCCCATCCTCCATGAGCTCCACTTTGCTCTTGGCGTTGAGAGTGACGAGGTACTGGAAGGCCTGGGAGGGCGAGTTGCCCTGCGAGCATGAGGCGCCGAGGGCGTCGCGCAGCTGGGAGACGGAGATTAGCGGCACGGCAGAGAGGTTGAAGAGAATGCTGTAGGCCACTTCTACGCTTCCCACCACCGCGTACGCCCAACAGTCGCCTGAGGGGGGCAAGGCGGGGAGTGGAAAGAGTGGAGAGGTTGAGGTGGACCCTTGTGCTGCCATAATTGCGTATGCCCGTTAACCGGGATGGGAAAGGAGGAGGCAGGAGGGAAGATGGAGGAGGGAGGCAGAAATAGAATGGGATAATGAGAAGGGTAGGAGAGGACAAGCCATAGCAGCCCTCCCATGCCCTCTCGCCTCCAAGCGCACAATGTCTTATCCAATTCCATCTTATCCCATCCCATCCCATCCTATCCCGTTCCATCTTATCGCATCCCATCCCATCCCATCCTATCCCGTTCCATCTTATCGCATCCCATCCCATCCCGTCCCATCCCGTCCCATCCCTTCCCATTCCATCGCCTCCCCTCCCTCCCTACCCCTCCCAATGCCCATGCCCTCACCGCAGGCGCCCTGGTTCTGGACGGGCCACGGCAGCCCCTGGTCGGCCCAGGAGAACACCTGGCTCACAACCCATACCTCCTCCTCCTTAGCCCCTCCGCCTCCTCCTCCCCCTCCTCCTCCTGCGGGCTGCACTGCCTGCACGCCCACACTTGCATAGCGGAAAAACAGGTTCGCTCCCACTGGTGATAGTGATGCCTCGCTGAGATGGAACCCAAATTGCTGGCCTGGCGAAGGGGAAGAGGGGGGGAAGAGGGGAGGAGAGGGGAGGGGATGATGATTAGTGTAGGGTAGGGTAGGGTGCGGTGGGGTAGGGCAGGGTAGAATAGGGTTGGGGCGGTGTAAGTTAGGGTAGGAGAATGCTGGAATAGTGGAAGGAAGCCCATAGATGAAGAGGTGATGGGTGTGGTGGGGAAGAGAAGCGGGAGGATTAGAGGAGGGGCATAAGGAGAATTGGGGCAAGGATTTGGACGTCCAAAGGGTGAGAAGACGGAAGAGAATCAGTAACCGAAATGAAAGATTGTTGAACTAAGAAAACGCAAGCCCCTCATCTTGTAATGCTTATGCAGCATGCATATTATGGAATAGGTGTAGGGTTGTTGAGTGCACCTCCAACCACAATCTATGGTTGAAGCTTGGTTGGGTTCTGAACAATGATGGGACCTCGATAAACTTTGGTTCAAACCCACCGAACAATTTATGGAGTCCTAATAATGTTGGTCCAACCAAAGCAGCAACTATTGAGACCTCCAATAAATTGTTGGCCAGGCTCATCAATCTATGAATCTCTCCACCAATGTAAACCTTGGCTCATTCAAGCCTAAGTTAATACATTTTCTTCCTTTTCCACTACTCATACCAGTAAGGGTGGTTGATTCTGGAAGGCCTGAAAAGTGAGAGAGAGAGACAAACAGAGAGATAGAGAAGTGAAGTGAGGCAAGGCGAGGCGGATGTATGAACGAATAGACACCAACAAGTGTGAAGGGGAATAGAGTGAGCACGTGGCATCAAGGAGCAAAAGAGAACAGCAAGAAGCAGCAGCGAGCAGAAGAACATGGCAGGGAGCGGCAGGAAGGTAGCATCAGGGAGCATGGGGGAGCAGCAGCAGGGACCTGTGGTGATGTTCCAGGCGAGGATGGAGTGTTGCTGCGGGGAGTCAGAGGAGGAAGCAGTGAAGCCCATGAGGAACGACGCCTTGGCTGCACTGGGCTGCAGGAACTCGCACAGCGACACCTGCATCGCCACCACTGCCTTGCCCGGTAGGAGGGGCGCCTTGGCTGAGAGAAACACTTGCAGCGACCCCGTACCACTGCTGCTGCTGCTGCTTCTGTCATAGCCATCACCGGCAGTAGCACTAGAAGAGGCAGGAGAGGGGTCGAAGACAATCCAGGCATGCTTTAGGTTGTCGTCGTTGAGAGTGAAGGGCGCTTTTGCAGTTGCGATGGAAGAGGTGTTGCCCCTCACACTGAATCCCACATGGCTCTTGTCTGGGTCGTTGGCGTCGATGCTTCTTGCAGTATCAAACTCCACGGCTATGCTGTGCTTATCAATGCCTGCATAACCTAAGCTGCTGCCACCACCAGTGCCGTTGGTGCTGCCACTGCTACCGCCCGTAGCAGAGCCACTGGCGGAAATCACAAACGCAAACCCATCCCCTGCATTTCCCGCAGCTGTGGCTGCTGCCCTGCTGACAGTGGCTGGTTTGAGAAGGGAGAAGGAGAAATAGATGGTGAAGGCCAAGGGGCGGCCGCAGGCACCGGCCTTGAGGGAGAAGGAGAAGAGTCGGACGGGGCTTTTGAAAAACGCTGCACCCCATGTGTTGGGCTGTGAGGCTATGAGTGTGATGCGACCGTTGCTTGCCACTGACGCCCTCCCCTTCACTAGTATCTGTGCTGCTGTTGGCTGCACGGTTACTGGGCCACCCCCTTGGCCTGGTGCTGGGAGTGGGGCCAAGGACATGCAGCAAGGAGAGGAGAGGGGAAGGCATGGGCAGGCAGTGAAAGGGCGAAATAAACGGGCCAGAGAAGGCGGTGGTTAAAATGCGGAGCGTTGAGAGTTCCTACTGTTGAGGGCCGCACTGCCACTGGGAAACCCGTCTGGCATTGTGGTGGGGGAAGGGAGCCCGCAACGGGCAGTTTAGGTGCTGATGCAGAAACTGGGGAAGGTACGGATACTACAGAAGGTAAAGACGATCCACCGGAAGAAGTTCCCACAACAATTACCCCACAAACATGTTACCCTTTTCCCCCACAGCACAGCAAACACACAACCACCCACACCACCCTCACTCCCTTCTTCCCCCATCTCCTCTTCCTACGCTTACTTCCGTTAGGGATGCAGCTTCCAGGCAGCTCCCCATTGACAAACCCGGGGTTGCAGGCACACGTGGGCACTCTGTTGGGCCCGGCCGCATAGCATGAGCCATGCCCGCCGCACGGGGGATCGGTAGAACTCACGCCGCAAAACACATCGCAGAGCACTTCTGGCCGCTGCACTGCTGTAGCAGCAGCAGAGGGCGTGGCGGGTGTAGGGCAGGAGTAGCCTTGAGTGGGGGTTTTGAGGCAGTTGAAGCGGAAGGAGATGGAGCGTTTAGAGCAGTTGGGCAGGGAGGAGAAGCCTGAGGAGAGGTAGTTGTTGTCGAGATCGTAGACTGTGAGGTTTGCTGGGATGGGCTGCAGTACAGGGCCTGTCAGCTGGTTGTTGCGCAGGTTGCTGGGAGGGGGATGCAGGGTGAAGGGAGGTGAAAGGGAGGGGAAGGAGTGGGTGGGAGGGGAGGAGAAGACGAAAATGGTTACTGGTCCGTTGGGAGGGGGGAAGGGCATTTCATTTGAAAATGGGAAAAGAGAAGGGGAGGTAAAGCAAGGAGGAGAGGAGAAGGGAGGGGAGGGAAGAAGAGAGCTGCGTGCAAAAGGGAAGGAAAATTTTGGAATAGAGGGGAATGTGCAACGCTGAGCAATTTCACATTCCTAGTAGCATTCCCAAAACGGCTGAAGGCAATACATGAGGTACCGACTTCGAGATGTCTCAAAGTTAAACAGAAGGTGACACTTTGCAGTGGAGACATAGGAGGGGGCTACATGCAACTACGAGGTTTCAGGAAAACAGAAGAGGGTATTTTTGCATTGTTGGAGGCAAGACACACAAATGAGCCGGCATTGGGGGGGCAGGAATGGGAGAAAGGGGGAGGGAGGGATGTGGGGAGGAGTGGATGGGTTGATGTAGGGCAGGCGCACAGGAGAGTGAGGCGAACAGGGCCAGTGAGTTGAGTGGGGATGGTTCCATGCAGACGGTTGTTGCTGAGGTCACTGCAGGGAGAGAAAGAGTGATGAGAGCCGCTCGAGAGAATTAAGTGAGAGATCCGGGATTTTATTTGAGAAGGGGGATTGGTGGGGAGGGATGAAATGGGATGGGAGGATTGGTGGAGAGTGGAGGCAGCATCGAGACGACTCAAAACTCTATGTGGCTAGGCTACGACGTCTGAAAGACAATGTGGTGTAGCACGAGGCATGCGCATCACCCACATGGCTTCCAATTTCAGTAGTCCTCCGAGAAGAGTGGGCAGGGTGCCGCTGATCTGGTTGCAGCAGACGTTGTTGCGGGGTGGGGAGGGGTGTGCAGGCAGAGTGAATTAGAGAGGGGAGAGGGGCGTTGGGACAAAAGAGGGGTGAAGGGGATGGGACGAAACGAAGGGTATGGTACAACAAGGAAATACCTGACAAGGCATTGGGGAGAGAGAGGGGAGAGGGGCATATTGCTGAAGAAACAGAATACTGGAGTGGCGGCTGATTGGGGACCAGTGAGTGTGAGAAAGTGGGAAGATGAAAGCTGGAGAATGAAAGCAGTAGGTGCGTAGGGCGTGGGCAGGGCGTGAGGGTTGGTGGGGCACTGACATGGCTTGGAGGTTGGCGAGATTGGAGTACTCAGCGGGTATGGATCCGGTCAACTCGTTGCCACTCAGATTGCTGCCGTTGGCAAGGTGGCGGCCCGAGGGAATGGGAGAGAGGGCGGGAAGGCAGGAGGAAAGGAAGGCGGAAGGGAGGAGGGCAAAGAGCGGGGATTTGGAGCGGGAAGGAAGGGATATGAATTCGGAGGGGGGGCACAATCAATTGCAAAGAAAGGAGAGGCTGCGACAAGAGAGAATGGCACTCACCTTGTGTACCTATTGTAGATGTGTGCCAGGGCAGGATGCATGGAGTACAAAGGGCCACTTGCAAAGAATGGATTTATGGAAACGCATGGTAGATCAGAGCCTCGTATCGGACGTGCCCCCTACCAGATTCAGAAGCAGAGGAAAGGGGGGGCAGAAGAGAGGGCAGAGGTGCAGTGCAGCACTTACAGGGCCTTGAGGGTAGTTATGCTGCCGATGCTGGTTGGAAGAGGGCCAGTCATGTCGTTGTGACTCAGATCGCTGGGTGTGAAAGCAGAGGGGGTTGGGTTGGATGGGGTGGAGCGTTAGGCGAAATGAAATGAAAGCAGCGTGTGGGACAAAGGGAAGATGGTAGGCGGGTGGGAGCAGTGGGTATGCCCGCTTAGCAGCAGACATTCAGTGTGGCGTGACTTGGCTGGCATGGCATGACATGATACATGGCAGCAAAAGCAAGCTAACAGGCATGACATTCAGTGGGCGTACATGCTGGTGATAACATCCAGGCTTGTAATCCTTGAGGGCACTTCTCCTGACAGCTGGTTGTAGCTCAGATCCCTACCGTGCAGGTGCATGTGCAGAGTCGCAAGGGAAAAATGGGAGGGTCATAGGGGAAGGGATGGGACAGAGAAAATGTAAGACACTGAAATGTGGAGATCAAGAGGAGGAGAATGGTGATAGACAGGAACCAGGAGGGGAAGGAGATTTAGAGCAAAGCACTGGAATGCACCCCAAATTGCAGTTGTGCATGCTTGCACATGCACTGCAAGCATTGCTTTGCACACAAATAGTACAGATCCACTTGCTTGCTTGGTTGTTCTTGTGTTTGTATCTGTCTGGTTATGCAGCCTTTTGCATAAAACATGCAAGAGGTTGGATGGGATGCATGCAATGCAAGCGGTGGAATGCTTACAGTTTCTTCATGTCCTCATTCTACACAATAAACTCTCCTGGAATGGAATCGGTGAGAAGATTGTTGGAAAGAGATCTGGAGAAGGAAGTAGAGAGACAGAGAGACAGGGGACAAACTGGAAGAGCAAATGGAGAGACTAGGCAGAGAGAAGGAGCAATGGAACGAGGGACAACAGGTTGACAGGGTGGGACACGAAAAGAGGCAAAATGCATACACATTGGAACACATTCACTTGATGTGAAAACATGCTTAAATAACCTTTTTTATTGTGCAAGAAATGGCACTAGAAAACCATTCGGTGCCTTCCACCACAGCGAAAGAAGAGAGCGATGGTGGTACTGGAAAGAAGGGAGTGCAAGAGATGGTATACAGCTGCTCAAGATAAGTTAAGGCGGATGGAACGAGTGTGCCCGACAGACGGTTGAAGCTCAGGTTTCTGTGAGGAAAGAGGGAGAGGGAGAGTAGGAGAGAGAGTGCAGGAGGATTAATGGGCGGGTGTGTTTGGGCAAGCGACAAGAGTTAGCATCTATGAATTTGCATCTAAGTATGTGGAACCTGGCAGAAGCAGTGGAGAATGAAGGATGAAGATGTACAGTGGTCTGAACACATGAGAACATCAACACATGAGCACATGATGGCATGAGGAGTGCACATGGATAAACAAGGAGTGAATAGTTTATGAGAATAGTGACGGACAGTGGGCTGACATGTTAGTGAGTTTGAAGAGGAGGGAGAGGGATGAAGGTATGGATCCAGACAGCTGGTTGTGACTCAGGTCCCTGTGGCACAGAGAGGCATAGCATGGTGTGGTGTGGTGTGGTGTGGTGTGGTGCAGTGTGGGATGGCATGGCATTGGATACCATGGTAGGAGGTGTTGGCTCCTAACCACGGGAAATGGAGTGTTGGCCCCGCCCTTGCTTGGGCAACGCCGACGACTTGGTCAGATGTACGGGAGTAGCAGCCGACCGTTCACAGTGGGAGAGCTGCTCGACAGGCTTCGTCGAGCTGCAGGGGACCGCTGTGGTGTTGCTGTCGACCAGGGAGCTCGACAGCTACAGCTGACTAGTCTGGGCAACAGGTGGGACGTCGACCAGGACCTGCAGCTCGACCGGGAAGTCTCCGGAGCATCCCGTCGACCTGCAGCTCGACCGGGAGGTCTCCGGAGCATCCCGTCGACCTGCAGCTTGACCGGAAGGTCTCCGGAGCATCCCGACGACCTACAGCTCGACCAGAAGGTCTCCAGAGCATCCTGTCGACCTACAGCTCGACCGGGAGGTCTCCGAAGCATCCCGTCGACCTGCAGTTCGACCGGGAGGTCGACGGAGCAGTCCGTCGACCTGGCAAGTGAGCAGCGGTCGACGAGGGGAGCTCGGCGACAACCGCTGACTGTTCCGGTCGACGGAAGGGGTCCGTCGACCAGAGGGTAGCTCGACGGGAGCTGTGGTCGACCAGGGGCGCCTGGTAGTCGACCAGATGGACCTGGGGGTCGACCAGAAGTGGTGGTGGTCGACCGGAAGCACCTGGTGGTCGACCGGGTCGATCGGGTAACCTGCTCGACGAGTTCTGCGGAGGCACGCGAACGTCGTCGAGGTCGCGATGGTGAAGGCGACAGCGGGCTGGTATCCCGAAGTCGATGTGGCTCGTCAGGCGCAGACAACAGCCGATGGATGCCCAACGAGGCAAGTCGGGTCAATCGTCTGCGCGCACCTGCGAGCGTGCGCACTGCTGTGTACTACGGGGCAATGCTGGACAGCCGCTCTACTGCAGCGTTGGCACGCCGTCGACCTGCTCTGTTGGCAGGTCGCCCTTCTGCAGTGCTGGTGCGGCTCCTCTACGCAACGCTGGCAGGCGGTCGACCGAGCTGTGCTGGCGGTCGACCAGGCTAGCTGCAGGGTTGCTAGGTGCCTCATGTAGTCATTCTGTCATTGCTTGTTGAATCATTCTGTAATTCCAACTTTGCTAGTGGAAACTCTTGCCGATTTCTCCCGTGAACGTGCAAGCACTAAGGAAACAAGCAAAGCTACGATCACCTCTAGTAGTTCGTGCCGACCCCCGTAGTCTAGCTCACTACCGTTGTAGAGTGATTCTCCGCATGGTGCGGTGAGCGTGGATCAAACACGCGACCTTCAGATAGGAGCCGACTTTTGCACCTACTAAGTCGTTCGTAGGCCGGCAGCAGCGATAGTCGCCATGGTCGACCCCGTCGTTGATGCGGGCGTAGCGGACACCTTGGAGGCACGTTTGGCTGACGCGAGGAGACGCCACGCGGATGGCGAGTACGGGACGATCCCCTTGGTGATCGCCGAGTTGGGCATCCGGTCGCAGTGGGCGATGGAACACCCTTCCCATCCTGCTTCTCCTTGACCGATGCGCAACGAAGGTGGCGTCGACGACGAGGTCGACGATGGTGCACGACTCAGCGGCAGCGTAGGCACGAGGCAGAGAGGGATGATCAAGGTTGACGGTGGTGTCGACGGAATCTAGGCGCGAGTGCAGCGGTCGACGGCGGCTGCAGGCAGCTCGCGTGCCGACGTCGATGTTCGACGTCGCTCTCCTCTACGAAGCGGTGGAGGGCTCTCGGCGACGACACATGTGACTGCAGGCGGGATTGCACCGGCGTATGGCTACTTCAAATTCTCGCCGGACCGGATCACCGTCGCACCGCTGCAAGGTCGACGGGACCTCATCACCTGGAGGGAGTCGATAGAACCTCAGCTGGAGGTTGCCGGGCTGAAGGGCTTCGCCGACGGCACCGTGCCAATTCTGCCCGAGGAGGATGTCGAGCTGCGTGGGGAGTTTCGCTCTGCTCACCTGCTCACCTTCATGGTCATCTCGAGGTGCTGCTCGCCGGTGGTGCAGCTAGCGCTCAGGAGCTGTTGAGAGCGCCTGGATGCTGGTCACCAGGCATGGCGCTTCATCATGTCGACGTACCAGGTCAGGGACGACCTGTACATCGGGCAGCTGGAGGAGAAGATGACTCACATTTGGATGGACGAGCAGGAGTCGGCAACGGATTACTGCAACCGTGCTCGACGGATCCTGGCTGAGATGCGGATGGCGGGCGCCGAATACTCGACGGCGTCCTACATCACCCACATCGTCAAGGTCTTGCCGCGCAGCTACAATCTCATGAAGAGGATGATGATGGTGCCCGGCACGCGTGAGTCCCTCGACGAGGAATCCATCACCAGCTACATTCTTCAAGATGAGGCGATGCAGGAGGCC